GCCCCTCAACTTTTAGAGCTAATTGATATTAAAATCAATATTAAAATTTTAGTAGAAATATTTTTTGTAAAGACAATTTTCCAACAGACCAGAAGACAAGAAGTCTCACGCAGACATAAATTAGCAGGCTGCAGGAAATTGAATGTTTTGCTATTTCTAACATAATTTCTTGTGTAATCTCTCTTTTTACATATTGAAAAGCTGTTTGATACTTGTCAAAAATGGCATTCTCTTGCTTTTTAAAACTGTAAGATATGTGACGTTAGGTAATTATATTGAAATTATTCCTAAATAATAAATAGAATTAAATTTCCTTGTATCAAAATCTAATGTATATTTCTATTTTGAAGTGCGGCCCTGGACTATTATTTATATGACTGAGGTGGCCCTCTGTACAAGTTGAGTTTGACATGCCTGATCTAGATAATATGAGGGACAGTCAGTAAATAGGTCACAAATGGATATAAACATAACATACATGATATTCAAACCTGGAAAAAACATTTATTTCTTGACATATCCTCCACCTACACTGATACACTCATCCCACTGCTTTACCAGTGCGTCAAAACCTGCAGCACGCAAGTCTTTTGGCTGTCATTTCAGCTACTTCTGCACCTTGTCGGGCATCATCTGTGACTCTCAAACGTCCTAAGATAATTTCTCGACCCAGTTGTGAAACACTTCACTTGACAAACACATGATACACATAGAAAATCTATTACATCTATTGCAACTCTTTTACTTCCATTTGTGACCTATTTACTGATTATGTATATAGCATGCATCACACATAGGTCTCTTACATTACTAATTTACTGTACTTGATGCAATGCAGGATTAAAGAGGTATAACTGATAAGAGATTGTGATATATCTGAATAAAATTTACCTTGCTATTGTGTCCTGATCAGACACAGCAGTGGCAAGAGTGCAGGACCGCGTCACCTGGTCACATACCCCATGACCAAGGAACTTTGCCGTTTCTACTGGAGCTTCTTTTGCTCTCACCTGTTACCAAAAATTCCAGCATCTTTACCGTACCAAAATATTTTTCTTTTTTTAAGTCAGTTATTTAATGACACTGTCAGTATTGAGATTATAAGCATATCGTACAGTTCCAATGATAGGCTGGTTAATGATTGTGGAGAAATTTGTGAAATGAGAACTGGCAGGTGAAACAGAAGAACAACTAGCACCATTACAAATCCCACATGACCTCACCTGGGACTGAACTGAGGACACCACAGTATGAAGCCAGTAACTAACTGCCTGAGCTATGGCATGGCCTCCATACAGTAACATAACTCAACTTTCACCTCTGTTTCTGACCCCTAAAACATTCAGACCTATGGTTATGATATGGTATAGAGTTTAGAATTTGTTCTTGTATTACTATCAATCAGTGGAAGACAAAGATTTATAAGATGCAATGACAGGCCACACAGACCACTTCATGAAGAAGGCTATTGCGATCTAACTCCACAATAGTAATTTCAATAGGAGTACACAATTCCCTCCAGCCATTCATGGCACCTGGCCACCAACACAATAAAATAAGGGAAAGCAAAAAAAGTAGATTAAAGAGAAGGACCAACAACAACAAACGTGGATTACAATGATTGACCTCGTAACCCTGCTCACTGTGCTCTGTGGTCCATGCTGGGACAGGACACCTCCGAATGCCTGGCCCTTCACACTATTCCCTCAGCATATGTGCTGGGACAGATAAAAGCATATTCTGTGGGTACAAATACAACATCCAGCTTCAATACATAACACATCAACCCTTAACAGTGAACATGGAGACAGTTTCCGAAATGCTGGATGTTACCATAACTCCATACTGACATGACTTGCTACCTGAGAAAACTACAATGATAAGCGGCCTCCGTAGTCTAGGGGTAACGTTCCCACCTCATGACTCAAGGTATGCGGGTTCAAACCCGGCGGAGGTCGTGGAATTTTTAAGGGCGGAAAAATTCAGGGAACAAGTCCTCCGGGAGGGACTTTAAGCCGTGGGTCCCGTGTCGTAGCTTTACGGCATGTAAAAGAACCTCATGTCTCCAAAGGAGGCCACTGAGCCAAATTAAGGACATTTCCCGCCCAACAGTAGTCTCTAACGCCTCTGGTAGATGGGGGAAGCATTGAGACACCTCTGAGCCGGTAGAGGCCGACCTCGCTGGCTGAGTATGGACTGATGGTAAGCACCAGTACCGGTAGGGTATAGAGGCTGGTAGAAGATTATAAGGGGACGCACAATAGATCAAACTGGTAGCGGTGCATGGGGAAACCCACCCCTCCAATAACAACAACAAAATACAATGATTATATTGTGGCATATAGACCCAATGCTAGGCAATGACCATGAAACAAACAAGACAACAGCCATCGGCAGGCAACAGCTTTGCAAATATGCAACAGTACTGGAGCTACTGCTAGACAACAACAATGGAAGTACTGTTGGAAGTGGCATTTTCTACATTTTTCTGTTCTGAGGCTATAACACTCGACTGACCAATGTGAAGTGGTGCAGTGTAGTGGAGCTAGTGCAGTGGAGTGCAGTGAGTTGGTAAGTCAGTGACTTAGTTAATTGAGAGTACAGCAGTTGGAAGCCAGTTCAACTCAGGAGCTGCAGTGACAGCCAGCAAGGGCTTGACGCTGTGAATATGGAAGTTGAGGGATCTACGGCACTGAAAGCTGTTAACAGGCAATGACTGGTGAAGACATGGCAGACCAAGAAGACTTGGTTCATGCTGTAGTGAATTGCAAAGTGTGAATTAGTGATAGCGCTATTTTTTTTTTTTCCTCTTGCTCCCAAATTTGGAAAATGGGGCTGATTTCTCAGTTTCACTGATCATTTTTACAGATGGTAGGACTCCCTGGACAGGTGATCAGCTTGTTGCAAGGCCTCTACCTAAACACAGGACAACACAAACACAAACAGAAAAAAAACATATACACACCAAACGTCAATGCCTTGTCTGGGATTCAAACCTATGATCCCAGCTTCTGAACGAGCGAAGACAGTACATGCCTTAGACTGCTCAGCTACCATAACTGTCTTGAAAGCACTATAGTAACTTGTAATTATGATATGTAAGTGTTCAGTAAATCCACTTACCAATCCAAACGCTGTCTAGAGTCACTCACACACGTGACAATATTTTTCATTTATGATCCAATTCCATACATGAATAAATAAAAAACCACATCCCTATTATGATGTTTAGCATAACCAGAATAAAAAGGACAGGTAAAGAAATGAGCATGTGAATCAGTGAGATATGGGAACATACCAAATTTTTAACAGGTAACAAACCTTTATCAGGATCCAAATATAACAGCTACTGCAAGTCAAGTTCTCATCTCAAGATAACTCCTCCATACCAAAAAGGAAGTAAAATAGGTAGAATAAAGTGTTTTAGTTTTGTGTAAGTGTAATATGCACACACATATGACAGCTGGGATAGCTAAGTCAGTTTAATGACAATCAATGGCCAGGGTTTGATTACCAGAAGGAGCATGAGATTTTTCTCTTCTTACAGTGTTTAGACAGGCTATGGGGCCCACCCAGCCTCCTATCCAGTGGGTACATGGGTTTGTTTCCCCAGGGGTAAAGAGGTTGGGGTATGAAGCTGACCACTCACCTCCATCTAGTGCTGAGCTCACTTCTACTCCCCCATACATTTTTATGGAGTGATGCTTAATTAATTAGCACAGGAACAATTTTAATTTAACATTATATTGTAACATCCCACTGCATTTCATTTAGTATCAAATAGTTTCACAGTCTCATGTGCAAAATGTCTTTCTATAAAACTTACTAAAGTTGTTCACTACATATTTCGACTTATAAGGTCACCATCGGGTGTTTTAAAATTATAAATTATAAATGAGAAAACTGCCGTGCTTCCGTATCATGGTTTTTGGTCATGTGGTCCCTCCTTTGTGCATGTATGTACAAAGTGGTGGGTTATTCTACCTGTTCTGTGCCGCACGTCCCTCTTGCTAATGTTTAAATATGAGTTTTTCAGTTTGTTGAAATCCTCACCATCAGTCTGAGGGTGATGCACCGCCCCTTCAACTTGATATTTCTCAGTCGAAATGAGACCTCACCAGCCAACTGCTTCAGGAATGCTGCAGCTTCTTCCTGATTGGTGAATCGGATCCCATAGTTCACCTCTGCAGACACAGACTTGCGCTGATGACAAAAGCTCAGTGCCCGATCATCTTCACCTCGACAATGCCTGTAGAGGGCATTACCAGTCTTTGCTCCAAACTCTCTCTGTAGTTCAGTCTGGGAGAAACGCTTCAGATCAGAACATGTGTGTGCACCCATAGCATGAAGACGCCTGGCCAGAGTACGACCTACACCTGTTGACATAGCACATCACACACCCCCATTTTCAGGTTTCACTTACATTTCAGAGCAGGCATGCACAAATTTCTTACAAATGCGTAAGAACCACCGCCAAAAACTAGGAGGCAGAGTAACAAACAAAGTATCTCAGGTGAAAAATTTGCTCATTTGACATTTTTTTTAATAAAAGGGCGTTTATGATGATATCACCTTGCTGTCTGTGACACACCCCCCCCCACCCATTGTTGCTAGGCAACAACTTGCCAAACGTTCCTGTGATGGCAAATACAATACAACAATAAGAGAACTGTTGCACATGGCGTTTTCTATTGTGTCCTGCCAAATACTGAAAATGTAATGAAATGAAAGTAGATGATTAGTTCTTTCAACAACTTCTTGTTTTTATTAACAAAAGCACAACTGAAACAACTACATGTTGTGACACATATGACCACTGCTAAGCAATGGCTCAGTAAACACATCATTGGAATTAAGCTCTCAACAACAGGAGGACATCCATTGCTAGGTAATGGGCCAATAAATACACATTCTAGGAAAACAGAAGAAAAGTGTTTTCCATGGGGTTCATGCCAAGGAAATATACAAGTCAAATTCCAATGCTGGCGGGTGTAGGAGTACAGAAGGGTACATGAGAACTGTAGAAGTAAAACAGAGCACACTGGAGGAGGAGAACAAGGATGAAGCATGTCCTAGTGATTTGTGAAGTAGGTAGATTAATGATAGTGCTATAACTAGCCTCCTATCCAGTAGGTATCAGGGCTCTTTCCCTGGAGTAAAGCAGGTGGGGCATGAAGCTTACTATTCACCTCTAGCTAGTGCAGAGGTCAAGAAAACATGGAGCTATAAATCTACTCTCCATATGTCTTCATGGTGTAGCACTTAATTAATTAAGCATAGGGATCACTTTAATGTAAAAATTTTCATTCAGTAACTATCAAATACATCTTTAGTATACAGCAACTGTCACGTGTTGGGTATGTGTCACGTGACAAATAACTTCACGCCGTCTTCAATATAGCGAATTTATTCCACTCGCTCATACATTTACACAATTCACAGTTTCACAGTTACTGCCATCTGCAGTATCACACTTACTTCTGCTGTAGTCACGGATCTCGGCAACTTCACGATCCACACTGTCAGTCCTGATCACACACTCTGACTCACATACTGCTCAGCCATCTTTTTATACTGTTCCGTTGCCTTGTGTTGACAGCACTGTCCACTGTTACATCACAATGGGAAGTGCTGTTACGTCACCGAGGGGGGGGGGCAGAGTGTTTACTGGCTGTTACCATAGCAGCGGCAGTGGCTCCTATGCTGTTACATTACCGCTGGAGGGGGTGTCCTGCATAGCGCAAATACGTCACAATATATACAAAAAAAAAATTCTACGCACCACCAAAACTTTTAGGTGCCACAGTGGCCTGCTACACACAATTTGTACAGGCCTGCCTCAGAGTATCTGCCAGTCTCCAATGAGTAAATGGATGGAGAGGAAAAATATTGTAACGTGTTTTGCCACTGAAGACGCTGTTTGGATTATTAATTGGTTTATTTAACAACCTACAAGTCATAGCTACAAATACTTATAACACGGTTGTGGGTTTACACAATTTATACACCCTACACAATAATCTGTTCACTCTATCTTCAATGGTCTTCACTTATTCACAGTATGATACGGGAGCTATACCAGTGTCACTGTATTACACACTCCCAATAACTTCTCACACTATCGCCTCTAATCACACATTCCGGTATTCTTCACATTCACGATTCATTCACTACAACTGAACTCGGCAACTTCACGATCTGTACTGTGTCACTCCTGATCACACACTCTCTATATAAGTGCTCAGCCTGGATTTTTATACCGTTCGCTGTTGCCTCGTGTTACAGCAGTGCCCCCGTTATGTCACAGTGGGAAGTGCTGTTATGTCACCGCGGGGGAGGGGAGCGGAGTGTTGGCTGGCCTGTTACCGTAGCAGTGGCAGCGCTGTTACGTCACCACTGGCAAGGAAGGGGGTGTCCTGCATAGCGCAAATACATCACAATATGCACTTTCTTTAACGAGAACACAGTTTCACTACGTTCATAACACAATGCACCAATTCTGCCTGAACTATGTTTAATCAATTTCCACATTTCCTAAGGAAACGTGAGCTTATGGCACCATAAAATTACATAAGTCAATCACTTATGAATTTTTCTTTGTGGTTTATTTCACAATACTGTTAGCATCTCAGAGTATGGGGTTGAACAGCAGGATGACTAATCAATAATGAATCAGAAAGTACATGGAAGGAAGGAGCCGTGGACTGATTGAGGTACTATCCCAACATTTGCCTAAAGGGACTGAGGAAAATCACAGAAAATATCAGTAAGGAGATTTCACTCGAAGATCTCACTGTCCCAGCTGAGATTCAAACCAAGCACCTCCTGAACAATAGTCCAGAGCATTACCACTACATCAACTTGCTTAGTACCATTTACAAAGCATGTCAGCCCATATGGTAACACAAGAAGTATCTAGAAAGTCAAAGTTGTATTATTAAATTGACACTTACGTTAAACATTTTCCACTGTCTCATTTTTAGCTGAAGGGCACATTTCAGGAACTGCCTCTTCTTCTGTGATGAGCTCAAAGTCTGAACCTGTTCTGTTGGAAAGACTGGACACAACCAGTCTGGTCACAGAGATTAGCTCCATCTAACAAACTCAAAAGAATGGGTTTCGTATATTTACCTCATTGCAGAAGCAGACGCAGTTTCTGAAATGCTGTGTTTTTAAACCCTAACAAGACAATGGAAAATCTTCAAATAGATGTCAGTCTAAGAAGTACCTAGTTCAAGTCTTATCAAAGGAATAAGCCATCCTGAGGTTCGTGGTGGTTTAACTAAATCCTTCAAGACAAATACTAAAGAATTAGCATGGAAGAGGCCATAACCACTTCCCCTTCAGTATGTTACAGTTCACTATATGTAAGCATCAAATTACTTCAATAACCTCTGTAATTGACAGAGTATCATTAAATCATCTATAAGCCTATAACTGATAACTGATTACAGCGGCCATACAGTCTAAGACATGAACCATCTTTGCCCACCCGAACAATGGGATTATGGGTTTGAATCCCACTCAAGGCATGATTGTCTGTCTGTGTTTACTCTGTGTTTGTGTTAGGTAGTGGCCTTGCGACAGACTCTACCCCCGTCCAAGGAGTCCTACTGACTGCGTACGGGATTAAGAAACTGAAAAAGTGACCAAGGTCCACAAGGGCTGTAGGTCCACAGACAGACAGACAGACAGGTATATAGAACTGAGTCCTCACTTCTTGGCATGCATTTGACACTGAAAATGGAGGCAGTATGTTCCTCTAAGACACTGGTGAACTTCTACCAAGCTACAAGGCATCATATCCGAGAAGGCAGTACTTTTCACTTTACATGTACTGCAAAACAGCTTTTAAAATAAGAATTTGTCTCTCCAGAGATGACTTCTATTCTGATAGTTCTCTGCTGCAAGGCCCCATGTGTAGAATTTTTAATACTTTAATGTTTTGTCTTGGCTCTCACAGATGGTTTGTGCTGTGCTTGGCTTGTATACCATACCTTGTGCTGGTGCAGGTGTTCAGAGATAGGGATTAGCTCTATCGATTGGGCCAAACTGAGTAGGTTTTACCTGAAATGGAGACAGAATCCAGTCTCCAAAACGTTGTTTTTTTAAATATATAGAAAACGGTATTTTAGATAAAAAAAAAAAAGGATGATGGATAATGTCCAGAAACATGATGCTTATAGCTTTTCAAAAGTTATAAACAAGGCAACAGAACAGACTTTGAATAGGACTTCGCAGTTTCCTACTGGAAATTTCTATAAAGACAGACCTTATATATTGTAACGTGTTTCGTTACTGAAGACGCTGTTCAGATTGTTAATTGGTTTATTCAACAACCTACAAGTAACGGCTACAATTAATTATCACACAGTTGCTGGGTTTCACACTTTATAACCCTAATCGCAATAATCTGTTTACACTGTTGCGGGGTTTCACGATTTATAACCCTATTCGCAAATCAATTCACTCTGCCTTCAGTAGTCTACACGTTTACAGTAGGGGAGCTATGTAAGTGTCCCTGTATCACACACTCCCAATTACACAATTACACATACGTCCGGTTCTTCTTTCCGCGAACGCTGCTGTACTCCAACTGTAGGCTGCTGACTGGAGAACTGTCTTTGGCGCTGATACACTTTTACTCTCTCCGGGGATGGCTACAAGTTAACTTGACTACAACTGAACTCGCCGACGGCCACATTTCAACTCACTCACGCTTACCGCTCAGCCGGCTTTTATTCCGTTCGCTGTTGCCTGTTGCCCGCATCAACAGCGTCGTTGCGTGCCACGTAACAATGTCTGCGTATAGCCTAGCAATGCTGTTACCTCACGCCATCTTACGTCACCGCGCATTGCGCATTACGTCACCGTGCGGAGGCGGGGGTGACAGAGCGCTGACCCACCCGTCGCAGTCACTGCTGGAGGGGAGGGGTTGTCCATCATTGCGCAACATGTCACAATATAAATGATTACAAGCAGCTGACCTCTCCCATTTCTGTGAAAGCATTTAAGGCAGAAGACAGAATACAAACATAGATAACACATAAATACAGGGTTCGTCCGGAAAGTAATGCAATTAAGTTCGTAAAAACAAAAAAATATTGAAGTTATCATTACAAACGTTTAAAATTCTTCAAAGTACTCCCCTTGAGCATCCACACACTTTTGCCAGTGACTTTTCCATGCACGGTACGCATCCTGGAAGGCGTCGACGGGGATCTCGTTTAGAGCCTTTGTCACGTCGGTTTGGATCGCTTCAGTGGTTCCAAAATGGGTTCCTTTCAGGGCAGTCTTGATCCTCGGGAACAAAAAGAAGTCTGTCAGAGCCAGGTCAGGACTGTAGGAGGGCTGGGGCAACATTGCCAAGCTGTGCTTGGCCAGAAACTCCTGGATGCGCAGAGCGGCGTGGCTGGGAGCGTTGTCATGGTGCATCTGCCAGGTAGCAGCGATCTCCTTTCGAGTGCGACGATCAGTATTTAAAAGATCACGAACACGAGACACATTTTTGTCACTTTTGCTGGTTGACGGCTGTCCAGAGCAGGGGTTATCCTCCACCTCTTCCTGGCCATTTTTAGAAAACTTCAACCACCTGGAGACTTGAGAATAGAAGAGAGCAGAGTCCCCATAGGCTTCCTGAATCATTTGGTGGGTGTTGGCGAGGCTTTTGTTCAGTTTAGCACAGAACTTGATCGCGTAACGTTGTTCGATAGTTTTCTCCATTGCGAGTCATGACACAGGCACTAACACGAGGTTCACGGAAATAGCGATCCTGACACTCCCAGAGCTCAGAACAGACAGAGCTTGGAAGCGTTGTGAAGCTAAGAGACCCCCCCCCCACCTTTCCCAACCGGTCCGAACGCGCTGCAACCAGGAGGAGTGGCAGGAAAAAACAAATTGCATTACTTTCCGGACAAACCCTGTATGCATCATGATATACCAAACTACACTAAAAAAATAAAGGAACAGTTACATTCTGATACTTGCATTTGTAAGGTGTAAAATATGGCCATGGAAAAAACATTTTCAGGTTCTTCCATTACCTGGAAGGTCCTCCACTGTAATGTCCAACATAAAGTAGGGAACTGAGGAAGGTTCCAGGTAGAACTGTCCATTTGGTTTAGCTTTCTTTGTGGCAAGACGAGCCTGCAGACGGTTGGCTCCAAAGCCTGCAGATGCTGTACATCCAGTTTTCTCCTAGTATAACAAAGAACCAAGAGAACTTATTTGTAGTCAATTTACTTAACAATGCTGTCAGTAATAGGGAAGATCAAGGACTGAGAGCATCTGAGAACAAGAAGCTGAGGAGAATACTTGGACTTAAAGAGGGTTGAAATTACAGGAAACTAGGGAAAAAAGCATAATAAGCTCCATAACTTGTACTCCTTGCCTTATATTAGAATGTTCAAACCAAGGATGAGATGGATAGGGCATGTAGTATGCATGAAAGCCAAGAGAACTACATACAGGACTATGATGGGAAAATATGAATGGGACCACTTGGGAGACCTAGATGGGGGAATATGTCAAAATAGTATCAAATGGTTTCACAGTCTCACGTGCAGCACGTCTTTCCATGAAACTTACTAAAAGTTATTCACTTTAAAGTTTTACATGTCATATAGATTTTAACTTATTAAAAGTTATTCACTACATGTTTCAGCCTATAAGGTCATTATCAGGTGTGTTAAAATTATAAATTATAAATAATGAAACTGGTGCTCCTGTATCATGGTTTAAAGTGAATAAATTTTAGTTAAGTTTTATAGAAAGGCATGCTGCATGAAGTGAAGGCACAGGATGTTACAATATAATATTACATTAACACTTTGTGAACCGGCGATTTAAATATTTAAATCACCCTGGGGACAGCACATTTTTAAACATACTACCCTAACTTGTGCACTGTTCACTTTAAAAATTAATATAAAATCTCCTAATTAATTTTTTGAACTAAAATTTTTGGAGAACATTTACCAATGCTCCTAGAAGTGCTTGAGGGTGTGATATTTCTGGAAACATTCCCCTTTGTGAAATGGCATTACACAAAACTTGCAAATGTAGACATACTCCTTTTTTTGTGAAGTGCAAACACAACATTGCCTAGGATTCTTCCCCTTGGAACGTTCACTCTTCACAATTTTCACGAGGGTATTTTTCCGCATATCACTCAAGTCACCCTGGGGGGTCCACAAGAGGTCTTTGTGGGGTGGGAGTTGATGGGCCTGGTCATACTAAGTCTTTGTGTGACCCTGGTTCTGCCACCACCATCTGGACTGTAGCCCAGGCCTTTGCCACATTCATCAGAAACGCTTTGTATTTCAATTTTGAATCAGGGTTCAGATTTTTTTTAGATTTTTTGCTGTCCCCGCAATGTTACTACGCGCAATGTTATTACCCACATTACCTTTGGAGCTACTGTCACTTTTACTGTCTGTGGCCACAATTCTTTGCTGCCCCCCGTCACTGTCGCTGTCTGAATGATAATTAATCCATTACTACACGTCTCACAAGGCAGGTCAGCTTGGTCATCGGAGGAGAATTTTTCCTTGATCCATTCTCCCCACTAGCTACTGGCTGATACACACAGCTTGAAGAAGGCAAAGCATTTTCCTTTATAGTCGGTTAACTAAACAGCAAGGTCAAGTTACTGACTGCTAACTAAACATTCCAGAGTCTTATCACGCATCTGCAGGCAGTTGCATGCAATGTAGGAGGCGCCAGACTGATGTATAGAGTGTTGCAACTTATTGTGTTCTAAAAATGTATTAATACACGACCAGTCCACCACGTTTAAAAGCGAAAAACGTATTAATGCGTGCGCGGTCCGCAAAGTGTTAAAATATAGGATTGATCGACTGGTGTCATTTGCTCAGGGCAGTAACCAGTGATGGCATCTTCTGAACACAGAAATTAACCTTAATGTTCCACAAAATGCTTGAAATTTCTTGATTATCTGAACAGCTATTGGCTCCTCAAGAAGGACTCAGTTCCATGGAATTAGTTAGACAGTCAGTCAGCAACTCAAAGTTATACACAATCACTCAATTCAGTGGTAAATAAGGACGTGAAAAAAAAATGAAGCAGTCATGGCCCAGTGCAAGGAACTATCCTTCCTGCCCTTTTGTCTTGAGGGACTGAGGAAAATCACAAAAGACCTCTCAAGACAGTTAGTGACCGGCCAGGATTTGAACTGGGCAGCTCATGAATACAAGTCAGAGGTCTTCAGCCAACTTCCTTGGTAACAAAAAGAATACAACAGGGATCATATAGGGTTAGGTCACAGAGTGAAATGTACAGCTACACATAACCTACAACCATTAGTCAATAGACTCTTTAATAATGCTGTACTGCCTGTGAGATTATGTAGTGTTGAATGCAATGGTAGGATGATTTCTGTTAGTTTTAACACCTTGGATCTTATCTATTGTCTAGGTTTATTCTTAAAATTATGTTTCAGAAACTGATTCTGTTACTGTCTTCAAATCTGACCTGATGGGCCCATTAGAAAGAGTTATCTAATTTCAGTCACTGCAGTAGCTCTTTTAGTGTTTTAAGAATAAACTTGGAGGATTGCTGAGCTTCTAAAATATCAGAACTAACTATGATGCACCTTTATAATAAGAAAAAGCGAGTGAGTTGGCATAGGGCAATACTCTAAACTCATACTTGGGAGGTGCTTGGTTTAAATCTTGGCTGGGATGCCAGATATTCTGAGTGAGACCAGCCCTCAGTCCATCCACATAAATGCTGAGACAGTACCTTGATTAGGCCACGCCCACTCCCCTCCCAATCCTTTGCTATTCCTAATTCATCTATCATCCTAACATTCAATACTATACAGTCTAACCACTTATGGCACTATGAAATAATTCATCAAAGAGACAAACAAGAAACAATGAGGGACTTCAGTAAAGACAGCTGATGCGTTGGCCAAAATTCAAACTAAGAATTCCATCTGTTATGTCACTGCAGCATAGTTCATCTGTTCAAAAGATAGGTTTCAAACTGGGTGCCTACATGATTTCAAGCATTTAATATCATTTCATGTGATAGCTACAGCAGTGTTTCTCAACTGGGACTTCATTGTCAGTTGGGTGGATGTGAGGTCTCAACTATAATAATTAATTCAACTGCACAGAATTCCCTTACACAAAAACTTTTCTCCATTCTGAGCATAAGCTTCTCATTAATTCAGTATCTATAAATACCAAGTGATGACAGGATGATTGGTAAATGATGAACTAGAAAGAGTTTGGAAGGAACTGGTCATGGCCTAAATAAGATACAATCTGGCATCTGTATGGAGAGACTGAAGAAAACCTTAAAGATAAGGTCAGCTGGTGTCTTGCTGAGATTTGAGTCATGCACCTACCAAATACAAGGTGCTATCAGAAATTTCTCAGACTAGGTCAAAAAAGAAACACTGGCTTAAGTTACTCAATTTTGGCTGCCATCTCCGTCAAAATAGTCTCATTGGGAATGTATACAGCGATCCCATCATTTTTTCCACACTTCAAAAGCACCATGAAAGTCACTGCTTAATGCTGCGAAGTATCACTTGTGATTCCCTTTGGATGTCAAACACTGTTTCAAAATGTCGTCCCTTCAGTTTCATTTTTAATTTGGGAATCAAAACGAAATCACTGGAGGCTAAGTCCGACGAGTAGGAAGTGGAATGATAACCATGTTGTTGTTAATCACAAACTCTTATCATTTTTAGGGACATGAGGGCAGGTGCATTACCCTAATGAAGGAACAATATGGTGTAAATTCAAATTTTCTGTTAAGATCTCTTGCCAAACTCCATAACTGATCCCAACAGTGTCTGCAAGCTCCTGTATTGCTCGGCAACGGTCTTTGTGGATGAGTTCTCAAATTATTTCAACATTTTCTGTCATTATGCTGGTCCTTGGTCGCCCTGAACATTCTTCATCTTCAACTGGCACTCAACAAACCCTGAAACGTGAATGCCATCCAAGAACCATTGTCTGGCTTAAAGAATGTTCTCAAAAAAAACCTCATGAAGCATTTCAAGGGTTTCAGTAGCAGATTTACGGAGATTTACGCAAAATTTGATGCAGACATGTTCCTCAATTTTGCCATCCATCAAAGACAAAATGAAACAAGAAGTCGAAAAAGCACTTGTGTAAAAACAATGCTTGTTCACAGCATTGTGTCACATAGCAGACTGACGTAATATGCTTTTGGAAGTGTGACCTTGGCCTCTCCTCTCATCTCCTTCCACCAAGGCAGTTACAACAGTAACAGTCCAGGAACTTTCCCATACCACTTCATACCAGTATTAATCATTGCTGCTTTACCATTCAGCTCAGCATACAGTGCTCTGTAGTTATTAGGAACTTCATTAGTGATTAATAAAACATTGAAATGTACATAACTGTAGAAACATACTTCCCTGAAAGACAGCTTTGTTTATACCGTATAATTAGGGTTTCTTGACAAGACTGATGGGATGCAAGATTCACAAGGCTGAATCATGGTATTCTTTTCTCCAACTGGGAGTTGCAACCACCCATGTGGTCACAACCTGCTCCATGAGGGGTCACTAAGTGACCACAAATTGTTTAAAAAATACTTGTATCCATGCACAGTTTTTGCAAGACTTTTAATAGGTGGTTCAGTATATGTAACTGTGATTGGCAGAACATTTCACAATATTTTTGTGGCTGTACAGGAATGTTTCATAGCTTACTGTGAATGCAGGAAGACTGTAGAGGCACTTAGGTTCCTTCTACCACAATACAGGCATAAACATGTATTGCTTCTAGAATGTTGCAGTGTCACAGATTTTAAGAACCCCTGCACTTTCAATAAAATATCCAAAGCTATGCAACCACAATTAAAAATTATAAATTCTTCGAACTTTTGAAGTTAACTGTTCCTTAACATATTAAGTGAAACTACATTAAACTAATGTACCTCAATTTCTTGTCGCAGAAATGAGGCGAACTGCATAAGGGAGGCACGGGTGTTCTGCAAAACACTCGTGCAGTCTACAAACATCTCATCACAGCTCACTGCTTCAATGTCCAACGTGAAGCTGCAAACAACAGGTTAATCACAGTTAAAAGATAAAGGATAAAGTTGTCCCTGTCCTTAGTTATGCATCAAACACTGCAACTGTATGCAGAAATGGAGGTACAGCTCCACACACACATTCTTAACCTTGGCAGTACATGGAAGGAAATGGTAAGCTTCATACCCCTGCCACTTTACACCACAGGAAAGTGTCCCCAGTACCCACTGGATAGGAGGGCCACAGTCAGCCTGGATGCTGTGGAGAATATACATGTCTCCTTCCCTTACTGAGAATGGAATCAATATTCCTCAGTTGTCAAACCAATAGTCTAGTCATTAGTGACTGAGCTATTCTGGTTCCTATGCTAATTACAGGATCTTTCCAGAAAAACACCTTGTTTAATTATACACATCAACTGAAATACATGACAAACACCACTGCACTTGCAGGAGAGTAAGAGCCAACTAAAAACATCAGTGTATGTGACCTTGGCATCCAAAATAATCAGTGGAAATTCTATACTCCAGTCAGTGTGTGTTTACAGCCACTGCAAGCTCTACCTTCAAGATTACTGTCATCTGGGATGCAATGGTCTATAGTCTGGTAGACTGTTACTGTTTCACAGGAACCTGATGCCTCCTTCTTCAAGGAAGAAAGATTCAAATATTCTACCCTGAACATGGAGGCAACAAGTTTCTCCAAAATGCTGGTAATGATGACCAGGTTATATAGGATGTTAAAAAAAAAGATTACTTAAATGAGCAAAAAAGTCCCAGTTGACCTATGTCCAGTAACCACTGCCTGCTGAGATATGAGCAATATTCGTCTGATCTCTTTTTTTTCAATTCAATTTTATTTAATCCATGGATCATTATACACGATATGGGACAAGTCAAAGATTAATATTAATACTAAATAATAATAAGTATAGTATTATAAAACAGAAATAATATGACAATATAATAATAAATGATGATGATAATAATAATAATAATAATAGTAAAAATAATATAGTAATACAGAGATAATAATATGACAATATAATAATAAATGCCTATAATAATTTAGCAGTCTTGAAAACAGTTTCTGTGGTCTTGAATCCTCCTTAAGATGGCACCAGGCAGATAATTCCCAGAAGCAGTCACGAAGTGTTATTTCCTGGAGAGATAAATGAACTGAGCAGTAAGCGTTCTCATGACTTATATTATTCAACACTATGAGGCTAATTGATTCTTGGAATATATAATTTAGACTGACTAGAACTCTTTTCTAAAAAATAAAATACTCGTCTACACAGTAAAAATAATAAATGAACTGAGTGGTAAGCGTTCTCATGACTTGTATTATTCAATACTATGAGGCTAATTGATTCTTGGAATCTTGGAATATATACTTTAGACTAACTAGAACTCTTTTCTAAAAAAGTAAGACACTCGTCTACACTGTAAAAGCAATGATCAAACAGGAAGTTTTTCAAAGCATTCTTGAATCTGTATAGTGCTGGGGTCTCCTTAATGTAATACAGTAAATGATTGAACATAAGAAGTCCAGTATTAATAAAACTGTCTTTGCATAAACTGGTATTACATGAAACAATATATAGGTCATCTTTTCCCCTTGTATTATATGAATGTATTTCCGAATTGGTTGCAAGAGTTTTGTGTATACCAGAGTTTCATAAATATACAAGCATGGTAAGGGCAATATATTTAAATAATTAAAATACAGCACATGATATATGTGGTTCCCATGCATCTCAGCACAAATTTCAGCTCTTTGTCACGGTGAAGTGTGCAATCTGTCAAAAATTCCTGGTTTCAGGTGAACCTCCCGACATGCATTCTCTACTCATTGCTGCAATACCTCTAAGTCACTGATCAGTAGTGAATATACTAAAAAGTCTTCAGGTATTCCCACAGCCTAAAACCTAGAGGATTTAGGCCTGGGGATCATGCAGGCCAGTTGACCAGGCCTCTGCAGCCTACCTACAGTTCATCGAAGTCTGGTTCAGGTACTGTCCGACCACAGAGAAAATAAGGTGGTACTCCATCATGCATGAAGCACATGTGTTGTCAATGAAGGGACAAATGTTTCAAGAGTATTGGTATCTCATTCACCTCAAAATGATGGTACATTGCATCTGTTAGTCTGTTAGGTAAGACAACTGGTCCTACAGACTACTGACTCATCAATATCTCAGCAGGCATTGATTTCTGGACATATGCTGGCTGGTGCTATTTTGCTCATTTAAGTGAGTACTATAACCACTCTAATCCTGTAACCCTTTTAACACCCTGTATGGCATCATGTCTCAGAAAACATGAATCTTCATAGTCACTACAACAAGAAAATCAAATCTCACATTTCTTCCTTCAGTTCTTGAATTGTTTCTGTAAACAATGTCCTTACAAAAATCCTGTAAGAAAAAATCAGGTGATGAGACATGAAGACTATACAGGCCCAGACAAGCAATATCCAAAATGTGCAGGAACTAATTAGATATAACTCTAAAAATGCTCGATGGGCACATCCAGAACTGCAATTGTTGTTCAAAAGCATTAAATGAGAGAAACTGTTCTCCAAGGACATAAAGACAACAGTCAACATTCACAGTAACTTCAAAGAAAACTTCTTCAGTTCCACAAACCAAAACAGGGCATATCTCACCATTCATTTTTGGAATGTAACAGTGTCTCCATCATTTCACACAAGTTTTCTCTAGCTCATATACATGCACATACTGCCTGTTTGCAGAGACATTCACACGAAAATGGACCTTGTCTGTAAATCACGGGTGTTGAAGAATTTAGGATTTTGCTCTCACAAATACAGAAAATGGACCAATAAAGTTAATTCATTGCCCTCACCAAAGGACTGTCATGGCTGAATTTTGTATGGAAGCAATTTCACATCTTTGAACAAAACTTAATGTCCTTGTTCTCTGGTTTTAAGCTTTCAGGAATACACCATGTAGAAAACTGAAGGTTTCCCAATGTGTTGGCAAACACTGCACTTGCCATATTCAGGACTAACCCTGAAGATGGTGCATTCCTGAAAGCTGAAGTCATATATTAAAACCTTATGTTGATATGATGACATTCCTAAATCAAATTGTGCAGCAGGGCATCTCATAGGTTTTCTGGGGCTTGATATGAATGCTTTCTGAACAACCACAATATTTTGTGTTGTTCGATCTACCTTTTAAAGACAACACTCCTCTTATTGCAGATGTTATGCTCTTATGGCACAACAGAGGGAGATTTGAGGCTCCAGGGCTTAAAGGAACCTCGCTGAACAGTCACAACGAAAAAAGTTGGTAATCTAGCATAAGTTTGACCAACAGGTTGCAAGTCTTACTTGGAATGCTGAACCAGCAGTTGCAACAGGTGTAGTAACTATTAGTTTATTCAAGGCATAAGGAAATGCTGACGTACAGGATTTTTCTATTAAACAGCCCTTAGGTCAGTGACTGAGTAGCCAGGATTGTGCAGTCAGTATAGAGACTGGCTACAGGCTGGATGACCAAGGTGTCAGAGTTCAAGTCCCTGTAAGGTCACAAATTCTCTCTTCTCCACATCATCCAGACCGGCTTTGGGGTTTAACCAACCTCCTATCCAATGGGTAGCTGGGGTTCTTTCCCCAGGAGTTAAGCAGCCAGGGGGTGAAGCTGGCTACTAACCTCCAGCTAGCGCAAAGGTCAAGAAAATGTACATCTATACATCCACTCCCCAATACGCCTTCATAGCATATGGAACCGTCCTAAGGCTACATAAATATGAAATTAAGTAACTTAACTCAAACCCAAATGAGTATGTAGACAGTGTAAATAAATGTAGGCAATAGTGGATCCCCAATGTTACAAGTTTATTCCCTAGAACCCAGCCACTGGAGAACGAGAAAAGCTACCAATAGCAATATGAGGAGCTAAGGGTAGATCTGACACCTGAACCTTTTCTTTGAAGGTTCCCAGTCCATGCTGCCCCTTTAAGCATGTACCAGTTTCCAGGGTGGTCAAAGCAACACAGGATCAGCACCCCAAAAAGTAACAGTGGTATTAACATTTTGGGACAGTACACTGAGGAACAGCAGACAACAGTCCCAGTAATTTCAGACTGGTATGCTAAACTACAGACATTCTTTGAACTTTCATCAAATTTTACTCAAAATAGTAGTTAACCTCAAAAACACATCAGCAGGCTAATAAAAACTTCTGTTGCATACCCCACCTTGTTCAGCACTGATTCGTGATGCTGCCACAGGAGAGAGCACTCACCCTTCCCTGATTGGTTGGCTGTCATACTGGTTGGCAATGTTGTTTGGGAAACAGGAAGTACACATGCATGGTGGCATTCATACAAAGTTTCACGAAAACTCGTCACTTAGTTCAAAAGTTACTGAGGTGAAAGAGGAAAGGTGACTAATAAAAGCAAAATTAAATGGTTTTATCTTCTTGCCAACAACAATGCAAAAACTGAATTTCAGATTCTTGTAGCAGAAACTATAAAGATTGTCTTCTGGGATGTGACCCTGCATGTTATTATTTTCAGTTTATTTTTTGGGATGATGTCAGTAATGCTAACTTCAGTGCCTATTAATTAGCTAAAGTACTGGAAAGCATGTAGAGAAAACAATTATCGCCTAGTCTGACTGCGTGAAGAGAGTGGGGAAAACTACAAAAATGCTGTCAGAATTGTGTCAAGAGAGTAAGGAAAACCACAAAAACACTCGTCAGAAATGGGATTTGAATCAGGCAACACCAAAATATAAGTCATAAGTGCCACCATGTAAGACAATTTGCTTGATGACCCTGTGCAGTCTGGTAGATAGGTATCAATACTGCTAAGGACGAGCTGCCTCGGTCTTCAGGGTAGTATTCTTCTAAATGAGATCTAAAAGTTTGTAACAATGGTACATTAGCAAAAACATATTTCTGGACATTGTCCATTGTCCTGTTTTTATTTAAAAACACAACGTTGCAGAGACTGATTTCTGTCTCTGTCTTCAGGTAAAACCTACTCAGTTGGGCCCAATCGACAGAGACAGTCCCTATAAAAACAGCACAGTGTTCTAGATAAAGAGAAGATGATGGATAATGTCCAGAAACATGTTTGTAGTATTCTTCCATTCTGAAGATGGAGGCAGCAGGGTCCTTCAAAATATCGGTATCTACCAGACTACACTTTGCTACATCCCAAAAGACAGAAATCAACATTCAATGCAAAAACTCTGTGGCTATTCACTGATTAAAATTCACTCACGCTGCTACAGTGTTATACAGGCAGTGGGACACTTGTTTATAGCCCTCAAAGTCATATGGAATAGTCCTCAGGTTTGGACACAGTTTAAGGGCTGTCCCCAGAAACATTCCGTTCTTCAGACCACACTTTCTGGCCTCATAACTGCAAGATGCAATCTCAGACATAGAATCGGTCTCATCTACATCAGTAACCATCTTGAGTCCTGCTTTCTGATTGTAGTAGTTCAACTCAAATGCACGATCGACTCCTTTACGTTGATGTGTAGAAGCAATATTTCCCTTAGCATGTGTGACAGCAACGGGCAGACCTCTCAAGTGTGGCCTGTCTCGTAAACCAACAGACACAAAGAAGCAATCCATATCAATGTGCATTATCACTCTACCGCCACCAAAGTTATGGGAGTTGGTAGTCCTTGTCCCACACTCCCGTAATCTCTCTTGGCCAGGGAACCTCCCATCACTGTCTTCGCGAAGTTGTGCAACATACTGTTTGAATAAAGCACCCATCGTGGAAATGTGGTGCAGGCGTGAATGACTGTAGAATTCAGACAGGAAGTTTGGATCAGCAGCATTCTGTGTAGTGGCATGTGATGACTGCCTTCCTTCAGCAACATCAGTTGTCAGCATGTCAGGCTGCATGAGGTAGACTGGTTCACTGTTTTCGCTAGAGGTCTTTGTTTCCTGCAGCAAATTTCCACTCTCCACTTCCTTTTGATTGAAGTCCAATCGTGTCTGAGCTTTGGATGTATACAGCAAATACTTTCGATAATCCAGCAGGCTTCCCTTCTGCACACTGTCCATAATCCAACTTGGCTTCACAACCTTCAGTTTTCTCAACAACTTCATTTTGCAGTTTGGCAAGTTGGAGGCTATAATATGTGTTGTACTGTTTGTCTGGTAGTGGTGATATATTCCTCCATGCAGCATCATCATTCTTTTCAGCGAGTCTGCACATGGTACTGTAATGACAAGGACGGCAATGACAGTAATATAAGCAGCAGTAGGTCCAAAGTTTCGCCAATATAAGGTGACATTTCAATAACATAATGAGGAGGATTCTGAATAAACTGTATCCTCAATTCTGTTTCTATTATTATTATTGTTTTTGTTGTTATTAATTTTTTTAACAGTTTGAATTATTGAACATACAGAGATAGTCTAAGGGGTTCTGACATCAGTGTATAACACTTGGGACTACTGAGCCTTTGGACTATGTCCATCATCTAATGTTCTTAAGAACGTTTCAGAAAATGGATGTTCCCATCCTCAGGTGAAAGGGTAGGAAGCAAATACTCTGTTGGGTCCATCACAAACAGCAAACCTACAGTTTTGTAATAACTAACTCCACGGTGATGAGTCCTTCTTCAGAACCCAACAGTTGCTCTCCCACTCAAGAAATTCCCAGCATTTTATGGAACTTGACAATCTGTTACCACGCTCACAACAGCTTCCCGCTGGTCTATATCCTAAACCAGATGAATCAAGTCCACACCCTCCAAGTCTACCTCTATAAGATCCATTTTAATATGATCTTCTCCATATTCTTCCATTCCATTTCTCAAAGATCCACCCATATATGTCCAGGTCTCTCCTAGTGGTCTCTTTCCTTCAGGTTTGCCTACCAAAACCCTGTATGTACTTTTCTCCTTTCCCATGCATGCAATATACCCTGCCCATCCCATCCTCCCAGACAGATCATTCTGATAACATTGGGTGAGGATCACAAGTTATGAGCTCCTTGTTATGCAGTCTTCTCCTACTATATCATCCCATTTAGGTCCAAACATTCTCCTCAGCACCCCATTCTCAAACATCCTAAGTCTGCATTATTCCCTTAATTTGACAGACTAAACTTCACAGCCATATAAAACTACAGGTAGTATTAGTTTTGGGTTCTGTAATATTCATACTTTTAGACAGCAAGTGAGAAGACAAATGATTCTGAACTGAATGGTAGCAAGCATTTCACATATTTAATTTTGTCATTAATGAAATACTGATTTGTTACAGTCATTCCCAAATATCTGAACTCTGCCACATTTTCAAAGAATCTATTAGCTAGCTTTATATTAGGATTTTGTTCTGCATTCTGGTGATGAGACATCAACATATACTTAGTTCTCTCTGTGTTTACTTCTAGGCCAACCTTCTTACTTGCGGCTATTAGTGTGTCTGTTTTGCTTCATTGTATGTTTTATTTCTCAGTCAACTATCATCAGCACAGAACAGAAGCAGATGTATCCCACTCAATTTCAATCCTATCTGGTTCTGTTGGACCTTCCCAATGGCATATTTCAAAATAAAGTTAAAAACAATGGCAATAAAGCATCTCCTTGTTTCAAACCATTCTGAATAGGAAACATAATAGACAAATGTTATGGACTTGGCGATAGGCTCTTGGAAGTGTGTCCTGACACAAATTCTTCTCCAGTATCAAAGTCAAATTAGAAGCATGCTATAGCCATAAGTATAGATATTTTTCCTGTGGCGCTACAGCCCCAATTTGGGCCTAGGCCTACCTCCATGAAACTCTCCGCTTCACTTCGGTTTACTAGATCTTACACATACGGTAGGACTCCTTGGGCGAGTGATCAGCTCATCGCAAGGCCTCTACCTGTAGACAAACACAGAAAAATGCACACAAACATCCATGCCCTGAGTGGGATTCGAACCCATGATCCCGGCTTCCGAGCGAGCGAAGACAGTGCATGCCTTAGACCGCTCGGCTACCGTGACTGGCAAGTATAGATATACAGCACCTAATTCATACCTGTATAGCCAATGACAAAGATGGCAACACCACGAAAGATATTGCTGCCAGCATTACTGCGACTATCACCCTCCTTTGCAACATCTTCTAAGAACTGCTCCTGCAATTTGGATTTCTTGGCTGCCATATAGCCCCCCTGAAACAAACCACAGCATTTCATTTAAAGAAAACAATAACACTATATTAAATGCATAAGTCACTTATTTATTTATTCTTGGTTTATTTCAAAGTGCTTTCAGTGACTCTGACTATGAATGAACAGTCAGGTGAGTATGGAACAACAAATCAGAAAGGATGTGAAAGAAGTGGTTACAAACTAATTCAAGGTACTATTCTAGCATTTACCTGGAGAGACTAAGGAAAACCAAGAAAAGTGCAGCCATGACAGCATGCTTCCAAGCTGAGATCTGAACCCTGGACCTCCCAAATACAAAACTGGAGTGCTCACAACTGAATTATAAAGTTTGGAAAATCATACAAACATATTTCAACATTATAAATCTTCTGCGCTGAACAGCTGTCACTCAACAAACTGGGAGCAATTAAATTGCATATCAGCTACTTGCCCAGTTCTATCCATTGAAACAGACTACTGAGATAGATGATTCAAGAAGTAACTCTTCTGTCTTGGATTTGGTTAAAATCTCACCAAGGAAATCAACCATCCTTAGATTTTTGTGGTCTTCCTTTATCCCTCCAGGCAAATGCCAGGATAGTACCTCAAGTTAGAACGAAACCACTTCCTTCCACGTCCTTTCCAAACCATTATTTAATAATAATATTATTTAATAACTAATAACATTTCCTGATTTATTACTATATAGTCCAGGATACTGACCATCTTGGGCCAGTTCTTTATGGAACCAAGTGACTACTATGATGACCCCATAAACAAAGGTCCTACATTTCGATCAAAGTGTAGGATTGATAAAGTGTTTAGAAAAAAAGGGGGGAGGGGGGGGCATAATAGATCACTAAATGTAAAGTGCAAAGGCCGAAAGGGCCCATCCCTTATGCATTCATTCATTCATTCATTCAAGACACTAACTATTGTCCTAAATAAATCATAAATAGAAATAAATGTATCATGTAGAGTATTATCTGTATGGTCAGGGGTAGTTCCCTGACAAGGAAAAAGAACCAGGGCGGTTCAGAGCAGTTCACTGAACCTGAAGAACCTCACTACTGTGGCATGTAGACCCACTGCTTGGCAGCAACCACAAAATAGGTGACTGTACAGCAGTCCTTGCCTGGCAGCGGCCCACGAACACAGGAAGTGTTTTTTGTGCAGGCCATGCCAAGATGTTATAAGCAGGACGTTTAGAGTCAGCTTAGTGAAGTGAAGAGCAGCTGGTCGACAAGAAAGTGCGTGACAGGATTGCAAAGGTTGTCCTTGTGAGCCGTGGTGGCGGCTACCTCCGTGCGAGGGGGGGGGGGTGTGCACGCGTGTGGTAGTAGTCACAACTGTTAGTACTTACGCATTCTGGGTGCAAGAACAATAATCATGATTTTGAGTGATTTCACAAGGCAGTAATTTCAAACCAGAATCACTGAAGACACGACGTATAAATAAGCGAAATGACCAGCTAGATGGGCCAGAATCTTTCTTGAGAAGTTCACTCACTCAGATAGCCAAGAAATCCCGCCCTTTATATGGAACCCCAAGTTTTAACATTGTATCATGTTCACGAGTCTATCAATGGTCCCTATCCTGAGCCAAATGAATCCAGTCCAAACCCTCTCATATTATTCCTTTTATATCCATTTTAATATATTATCCTCCCATCTATGCCAGTCTTCAAAGTGGCCATTTCTATGGATTCATCACTACCATTTATGCAACATGTCTTGCTCATTCCTTCCTCATTGATTCAACACATGACAAAAGTAAAAGCATCCCGGTTGAATCCAAACTTTCAATACTCGTATAAAAACATAACGGTAACCAGACACCGGAAGACAAAGGCAGAACAAACTCTTAAAAATTACGCGTATATCGAACGTATTCCACACAATGCAGAACATAACATTCGCGCTTTATGAGCAGCAGAAGCAGATGTGGACCTCCCGATAGGGCATCTATTCCTTCTCGATTTCTCAAAACATTCCAAGCCACAGAAATGCAACCATGGCATTTATTATACCTAACCTAGAATTTTTATTTAGTTTTACCCATGCACCAAATCCATTATCTTCGGAGGATTGCCTCTTCCGTCGTTTGTACATTATCACAGTAATGATGCCACCTGAACTGAAGTCTCTTTCCAAATAACTGTGACAATAATTTCTTATCCACGTTATTTTCGATAATTGATACCACTCAACCGCCAAAACGCCCAAACCTTAACTAAAATCTGAAAATCGTTAATGGAGGCTGATCAATAACCAATTAGGCATGGTTACCAAACTCTTCCCACAGAGTCCTGCTGTAGCTGTTTATATGTAAAACTGTAGTTTCGATTATAAACTTTTATTCAAATTAGGAAAGAGCATATGATTCTTGGTTACTGTAAAAAATATAGGTTGTCTGCAAACGAAACTGACGGATATAACTTTATAAATTATGTGCGATCTCAACGTATATTGTTCAAAAATAAATTTCCCAACGTTGCATCCTATGTGTTTTTATGTATACATGATACATAACATAGTCTAAGAACAGAAAGTAGAGTTAAAATTATAATGGAAGTGAAAAAAATTGTTACTTTTAGTTCATTTGCTGATTGTGGTACGTTGTATTTGGTGGTACAAGAAATACTCGTATGTAGAGTGAAGAGACACCGACACCCCAAAGCACGTTTTGGTTACTGATGACTTCTGCAAGAAGCTCTGTTAATTTGGGCACAGATTTTATGTATTGCAGTCTTCCTGTGTCGAGTTCATTATTGGCCCTTCTACCTGACAGGTTTTGTTTCATCATAAACGCGTTAGTGGGTCTGTTGATTTTTCTTAACCTACCTTACCGGGGCTCGCAGTATATGTACGTGAAATTGCAATCATGTGTTAATTTTCATTCCATATTGTATATGTATGTAATCAGAATTCTAAAGAGAATAAATTTTGAATGAAATATGAAAATTAACGTAGCGCATACGTACCTTCTATATAACTCCAGACAAAAATCGTAAGGTTTTCGGGGTGGTGAAGATTTGTCTCCTGGGTTATGACACGGTGTAATCTGGTAGGTGGTTACCATCATGTCAGGAGAAGTAGCAGATTCAACTTTATTTTATCATGTAGATAGAGCCAGCCAACTAACGCCATGGAAGCCCATCCTTGAGAGGTGCCATTCACTCTCGTGCCCAAGAAACCACCAACTTTGTATGGAACCCAAAATTTTGTTACCGTGTATAGAAGAGCCCATCGCTAGTCCCTACCTTCAGCCAAATTAATCCAGTCCTGTCATCCCATCCTATTTCTCATAAGATCAATTTTAATATTATCCTCCCACCTGTCTACATTTTCCTAATGGTCTCTTTCCTTTTGGCTTTCCCACCAAAACCCTGTATGCATTCTATTCTCCCCCATATATGCTACATGGCCTGCCCATTTCATCTTTCATGACTGAATCATTCTAATTATATTTGGTGAAGAGTGCATGTTATAAAGCTCCTGGTTATGCAGCTTTTTCCAAACTCCTACTATTTCATTCCTGCTTGGATCAGATATTCTCCTCAGCACCTTGTTCTCAGATACCTTCAATGTATGTCCCTCCCTTAATGTCAGGTATCAGGTTTCACATCCATACAAAATTACAGGCAATGTTATTCTTTCTTATATTTTCATTTTTACGTTTCTAGGTAGCAGATAAGAAGACAAAGCAGACTCAATTTGGGTAATGCTTGCTACCATTACCTGAATTCAGTCTGCTCTTTATTTCCACATGAATCTATTTTGATTTGTTACTCTCATTCAAAAATATTTTAACTTGGCTGCATTTTCAAAGGATCTCCTCGTTTTAGACTATTCTGAATAGGAGACATATCAGCCATATATTTACTTTTAATAGTTTTATTGCATTTTCTTGTAAATTGGTACAGTAATAGACTTCTTCCACTGAGCAGGCAATTCTTCCCTATTCCAAATAATATTAGTGAGCTTACAGGTCATAGAACGTATGTTTCACGTCCTGCTTGAACCAATTATGGCAGAATTTGTTCAGTACCTGTTAATTTATACTATTTGAACTTTTCAGTAGCAGTTTGAACCTCAAAAGGACTGGGCTCGGGTACTAATGGCTCTACTATGTGTATTTCCATCTGCTTAACATCACTAGTCCTATGTACATTCAGTAGCTGAGAAAAGTAATTCTTCAAGATGGAGCCAGCAGGTTTCTCAAAAATGAACAACCATACTGGATCACAATCCTGATGTATGTCACATAAGAGTAACATTTCTTTGTTTTATACATGTACAGTATGCAAGTGGATTATTGTTCAGTGTGTGTTATATAAAAAATAAAATTGTTGATGTAATATTACAGTCTTTTAATAAATCCTGAATGTTTGAACTTTTTTTTTTTTTGCAGTGATGGTGATTCTGTGTATAACACGAATTTGTCGTGTCAAACATGGCTGCTACCAACAGTGAATCACCCATTGAATGTAGTTGGAGTGAAACTGATCCTGTATGTAAGATGAATACTGATGTGACAAGGAATGTAGCCAGGCACAGCCAGTTGTCCACAGAATGTGATTGGTGTGATGATGATCTTGTGTGTAGAGTGAATACTGTCACTTTGGACACTGCAACCAGCCACAGTCAATCATCCACGGCACATGAGTGGAGTAATGACAATACTGTGTGTGGAGTGAATAGTGTCACATCAAACACTGCAGCTAGCCACACCCAGTTTCCCATGGTGTGTGACTGGAGCAGCAGCAAGCTGACAAAGCCTCAGTGTGATAAGAAGAAGGGTGAAGTGTTGTCCTTGAAATTACGAGTTGAGGTCATCAGGGAAAGCTCCAGTGGTCTCTCACAGAGGGCACTTGCTCTCAAATTCAACTGCAGCAAGACACAGATTCAGAACATACTAAAAGATAAGGATCGGCTGCTGCGAGAATGGAAAGAGGGAGGCAGTCAGTTTGCCAAAAGAAAGAGAAGGCAGAGGAATGAAAACGTGAACAATTTTGTGTGGGAGTGGTTCAAGGAAGCACGTGCCAGGGGCTTGCCTCTTAGTGGCCCTATTCTACAGGAGAAAGCACGAGAATTCGCTGCATTTTTTAACATAGAAAAATTCAATGCCAGCAATGGATGGTTAGACAGCTTTAAAAAACGCCATAACATTGTTTTCAGGGAGATTCTTGGGGAAAGTGAGATGGAGGAAGCCGATTGGAGACTGCGTGTGGCTACTATGTGTGAGGGTTATGAACTCAGGAATATTTTCAACATGGATGAAACTGGACTTTTCTTCAGAGCAGTGCCTGATAAGACAATAGGCCAAGAAAAAATGTATCATGGGGGAGAACTTGCAGGTGAACGGCTGACATTGTCTTTCTGTATCAATGCTCTGGGAGAGAAGGAGCCCCCAGTTGTCATCTATTCCAAGTGTTCTAAAGAAAATGATGCCCCACAGCTGGGTGTGGAACAGTATGCAAATATTAATGCATGGATGACACCAGACATCTTTTGTCAGTGGGTCACTAAATTGAATGAGAAGATGATTCAGGAGAATAGAAAGATCCTCCTTTTTCTGGATGATGCCCCATGTCATCCGCTGTTGGAACTGTCAAACATCAACTTCATCTTCCTCCCTGCCAGTTCTGCAAGTCGTTTGCAGCCACTTGAGCAAGGCATTATCCAAGCTTTTAAGGTTCTGTACAGACGGAGAATGCTGAGGTCATTGGTTGCCAGAATGAATGGTACGATAAGCATTAGACGGCTTGCTCATCAGATTACAGTTTCAGATGCCATCACATGGGTGAAGTCTGCATGGATGGAAGTCAAGCCTGCTGTAGCACAACGGTTGTTTGCCATATGTGGCATAAAAACTGAACAAACATGCGCGACTCTTGAAGATGACATTGCCACAGAACTTGATAATGTAGCAATAGAAGTATCATCTTTGGGGGAAGCAGCAGGCATTGATGTAGAATTGGAGCCTGAGGGAAGTCATTCTGTTCCATGTTATGATGCTGGAAGTGACTGGGAACAGCAGCTGCTGGGGGTTGCATGGGGTGATGAGCCCAGTGCAGATGAGGAAGCAGACAAGGCAGAGGAGCCATCAGTAATGCCTCTGCCTCTCAGCCAGGCTCTTAGCAGCATTGCTGCACTGAAGGCACTTACAGTTGAGCTAGGAAGCCATGACAAGCTGATGAAGGCACTGGAGGTAGCAGAGGAAGAATTTGAGAACATTATAGTGAAAGAGCGCTGCCAATACTAGAGAACATAAATGCTTGTATATAATTTATTTAGAATAAACATAAGTATGTAATACTTGTAGCATGACTCATTTACGTGTATAACCTATCACCCTCTGATTCCACAAGGCTTAAGCAAATGCAGAGATCTTGGTGTGGATATTGGGTGGAAAAGTGCTTATACTGACATAGAATTATTGTAGTGTTCATTTGTTCCTTGGTTGATAATGCTGTACCTTGAAAGTAGCTTAGTACCAGTTGCTCCAGATTTACTGTTCACAGTCATACTAGCACCTGCAGCTGTTACCAGAGCTGAAAACTGGCACAGATGCAGGTAGACCCTGTGTGCTTAGTTCCATAGCTCTTGTTTCTAATGTTACTTCTGCTGCCTTAAAATTGTCATTACTATCATTCCCAGCAACAATACATGTAGGAACAAATTCCTTAGCCTAGATTGTTATAAGTCTCTTTATAACATGTGTTGGTTATTTCCCTGAGGTTCTCTACTGAGCTGAGGCATTTATGCCTGGAAAGTCATATCTACCCATGACCAGTATAGTTTATATGAATGAGGAGCACAGATGATTACAGTCAATATCTGAGTGGCATTAAAAATACTGTTGTATGGACTTGAAGAGTCTCTTGAATTCTCTGTACAACTCATGGATTCTCAGCTATGACTGCCTGCAAATGACCTTCATTGTCCCTGTAAAACTTCAGCATGGACACAGACTCTACATGTTTACCAAGCTGCTGCCTATAAACTGGTTGCATAACCCCATTGTTCTATTGTTGCATGCCTGTATTACTTAGCAACAGCTGTTTCTGTGGCTCAACAGTTCTTGCATGGAGTATAACCCACAGGAAGGTGCATATTTAAAACAAATTATGCATTGGACTGACACCTGTGACCATATTATAAACCTGGATTAAATTAAAGATCCACATTGCAAATGGCACCTGGAGGAAACTGTTATATTATGTGGTGGCAGCCAATGTATTAATGTAAGAATAACATGTTACAATATACATATATACCAGTAATGTCAGCTTTACTAACTTACAAACTGTAAGATCGTCTCTGATGATGAGTCTTGGGACTTTTTAAGATTTCTCCTCTTTTAACCTTTAGTTTCAGTGATCCCAAATCAGTAATTTCAGCACTAAATTTCTTCCATTTAAGTTTTTCTTCAATTTAATGTTCAAATCCACTACTCCCAACAGATTCCTCAAGTATGGCTTTTGCTGTATACTAAAGATGTATTTGATAGTTACTGAATGAAAATTTTTACATTAAAGTGATCCCTAAGCTTAATTAATTAAGTGCTATACCGTGAAGACATATGGGGAGTAGATGTATAGTTCCATGTTTCTTGACCCCTGCACTAGCTAGAGGTGAATGGTAAGCTTCATGCCCCACCTGCTTTACTCCAGGGAAAGAGCCCTGATACCTACTGGATAGGAGGCTGGGCGGGCCCCAGAGCCAGTCTGGACGATGTTGAGAAGAGAAAATTCTAGACCATACTGGGACTTGAACTCTGACCTCTTGGTTGTCCAGCCTGTAGCCAGTCACTATACTGACTGTGCTATCCCAGCTTCAGTGTACAATCTTTCACTTTATTACATTTCTGTCATTCTACTGTAATACTATAATGATCATTTTAAATTAGCCATGGATACTGGAACTCTGTACTTCATCCCTTCCATGATCAGATATAGTTCAAACTTATTGTGGCAACAGATTTATGAAAAAGGCATATTCATGGTAACAACTTCTTAAAAGACAAAACACAGTATGGAAACCCTTCAAGGCCATGATCTCTATTCAATTCTCCTGAAGTCATGAAAGGAGAGGAATTTGCCAGACAGAGCAATGAGTCATAGCTGAGAAGACAGGAGACTAGAGACCAGTTCAAGATCCAGGCAACAGTGAATGTGTGAACTGTTATAATCAAATGTAATTGTAATAGAGACAAATAAATCCCATCATCAAATCCAGAACCCACAATTATTAATCATGCAACCCCCAGTGCATGACAATGTTAAATGAAATATAAGGCAAAATAATTTCAGACTATGTATAATTCTGCATCTGTCAACTAAGAGAATGGTTTGGTGGGGTTTATTTGTCTTTCTATATCACAGATTAGGCTCTGTGGCATATCCCAGTTCATAATTTGTGAAATATGAAAATGTATACCTAAGACATTTCATATGCCTCCTTGGCAGTGGTAAAAATGGCTTTTTTTGGAAGTAGGTATTCTTTCAAGTATTGGGTGAAAAGCCCCTAGATAATTATCAAAGATGTTTTTGCATATATAGTGCATCTATTTCCTGTCATTGGAGTCTACCCCTATTTCCAGGCCTGTGTTTTGGACCAAGCAATCTGGCTCAATTCTTAACATTTATGACCTGTATTTTGGAGGTTCCTGGTTTGAATCTCATCCTGGACACTGACTATCCTGTGTCATATTTTCATAGTTTTTCTGTCTCTTTAAGTAGGTACCAGGATAAAATCTTAAACTGGACCATGGCTGTTTCCTTTTACATTATTTTTCATTCATTATATGCTACCATCCAGTCATTCATTGCCATATAGTCTGAGTTACTGAGAGTGTCATTAAATAAACTACAAATAAACAGGTCTCACAGACGGGATCTGTTCATCGTTATAAATCACAATAAAACCATAATACCGCAGATACCCTTTCTTGCTGCATGGAGAACTGTAACCTACAATCCCAGAGTCTGAAAATTCCATGACTATAAATGGTTTAGACAGTGTAATCAGCCTTTCCATTTTGTTGTCAGAGGAAATTTAGTTGCAATATGCACAAGACATTATGAGAGTGATGTAGTAAATGTATTATTGGATGAAAATAGAGTTCTTAATAGTAATGATTCAAATGAATGTCTTTATATTGTTGAAAATGTATTGAAAGGTAATGTGAGTCACTAAAACATATAATATTTATTAAATATTTAAGTACTACATTGTATGAATCGCTATTTGATGTATAAAGTGGTTCATAGCGGCCTCCGTAGTCTAGAGGTAACGTTCCCACCTCATGACTCGTGGTACGCGGGTTCAAATACCTGGCGGAGGTCGTCGAATTTTTAAGGGCGGAAAAATTCAGGGAACAAGTCCTCCAGGAGGGACTTTAAACCGTGTGTCCCATGTCGTAACATTACGGCACGTAAAAGAACCTCATATCTCCAAAGGAGATCACTGAGCCAAATTCCAGGACGTTTCCCGCCCGACAATAGCCTCTAAGGCCTCTGATAGATGGGGGAAGCATTATAGACACCGCTAAGCAAGTGGCCGAACTCGCTTGCTCAGCGGGACTGATGGTACGCGCCATTATCGGTAGGGTATAGAGACTGGTAGAATATCATAGAAGGAAGCACAATGGACCAATACTGGTCTAAGTGCATGGGGAAACCCACCCTCTCCAATAACTAACTAACTAACTAACTAACTAAGTGGTCCATAGATAAGGTAACTGATCTGAAGAGAATTTAAGAGAACTGCCGGCTTCTTGCTGGCCTATTGTTTGGCATACTCTTCAACCTGAAGATGGAAGTAGTATGTTCCTCAAGAACGTAGATGAAGTTGTACCAGATTACATGGCATTACATCCCAGAAGACTCTGCAGGATTGTAATGTGATTCATTTGTTTAATAATTCAGTAAGTTACTCAAGATCTGCACTCCTCCAGTAGCTCAGATGCAGATGTATGCATCGTAATAAGTCTCACAACTTTGTTTCTTGCAATGTTTTTCAAATTAACTAGCCTGAATATAGGCATATTTTAACAGATTTCAGGAAATGAGCCATTGTCTAACAGCAATGTAAAATGGTGAGCCTAAGCACCACATGCTTCAAATGTAGAGGTAAAGTTTCACACATTCTTAATCTCAACTTCATGTCTGACTGCTTTACTTCATAGGGAATATATCCCATGTGCTCACTGGACAGCTGGTTGGGTGGGCCCAATAGCAAATCAGGATGTGGCATTGAAGAGAAGAATGCCAAAGCCACAACTCTGGATCAAACCCCAACCATCCAGTCCATAGCCTGTCACTGATAGCTGTCATGGTGCACAGTATTTAAAAAATATGTATGACACATAATATAACAACTAACCACGTCTGGTACTGGAAAATGTAAGCTCACCATACTAATACCAAAGTCTGTTACCAGACAGTCCTAAACCAAGTCAAATCTACATACCTCCAACTGTCTTAGTCTATTTACCAAAGATCAATTGTACCAGTCATCAAGACTTCCATATCCCCGCCCCCCATCAGCGTTTCTCAACCAGTGGAATGTGAGATATAAAAATAGTAATTACTTTTTGCAATTAATTCAGTCACATAAAATCACTTACACAGAATTTTCCTAAAATTCACTTATACAGAATTTTCCTGTCTTTCTAAGCATCACTTTCTCATTAATGTTGCAGCGTAATAACACTTCTGGTAGCACAGCTAACTGTTTTTACATAAGTATAGCAATAAAATGTGTTATTAACAATTGTTATGATCTTTTAGTTTTCAAGAATTGTAAAAATTAACTTCTAATAAAAATGAAGCTCTGTTCTTAACAGGTTGAGTTTTTTTTTTAACCACTGGTATGATACAAGATGCAGAAGGTAGGGAAACACTGATCTAGTCCATTGCAACGTATCCATACAATTCTGAAGCACTTTTATAAATTTCTCAATGCAGAACATTTTATGAAGATGGTTTGTTTGCCTATGCCAAAGATGGAGGATCACCCATATTCACCATCTGTGACTACTTATTTGTATATTTGCAGCTACTTTCTATGTGTGGAGTCTGTCTCCTGCATCTTCCACCTCGGGATGCAGTGTCATTAAGCAGGAAGTTGTGTACATCTTAAAGTAGAGTTTTAGCAATTGCTGGCTGGAATGGTCTGAATTTTAATTCTATTCTAAAAGGTTCTGTCAGTAGTGTTTTATACTCGGATTGACCGATCTCTAGGACTTTACACATTCTGTAGTGTTCTGAAGGAACACAATTTTAAAGAAACCGGACCTGTTTCCATCTTCAGATGAAACTGTGGGGAGCACCTACTCAGGTGGGTTCGTTAGAAAGAGCCCTGTCCTCAGGTGAAAGGGCCAGATAACAAACAGACCCAGTTTTGGAAATGTTGTGTTCCTTCTGAATAACAGATGATGGGCAAAGTCTGGGAACTCAGTAACCCCAGGTTTTTTTTTTGCCATAAAAGGTAAAGCTATCCCTGTAACAGGCCGTGGAGACCCATAGGGTTGTGAGACGTCAAGGCTCCCACATTTTCTAGACATTCGGCTCACACATGGCGGTCAGGCTGTCAGCCTTATGCGCTGGTCGCCCTTTACACCCCAGGAGGATTCCTGGTACTCATTTCTGTTAGAGGCTGAGTCGATCCCAGGGCCATAGTGCGGCTGGAAGGGTTAGGTCAATTGAAAAATACAATAACCTCGTCGGGACTCGAACCCACGACCTTCCGGCTTGCAGCATAGTGCCTCAACCAACTAGACTACCAAAAGAACAAACTCCGTGGTTTTAGTCCGCAAGCCAACTATACCGATCGAGCGACCACCGCTTGTCGGCAAAGTCAGTGCCAACTTCAGCAGATAGAGTGTCGCGTGGTCAGCGAAACGAATCCCCACGGCCGTTAATTTCGGTTTTCTAGACCGGAGCCGCTATTTCCTTGAAATAGCTCATAAGTTATCCTCAGAAGGCAGAGTGAACCCCTTTCCAGACCCAGTACTTCTCAGAAAACAATCTTGTAGCGCCGGGAGTCGAACCCGGACCTCTGGATCTGTGGCCAGGAACTCTGACCATTAGACCACAGAGGCGGTCGCGTGCCCAATGTAGATGGAAGGAACCATTTTCACCTTGGGACCTGCAGGACAGCTGCAGTGACTAGGCTACCAGCGGAAAGACTGAATAATTGGAATTTCGATTCCCAGTCAAGGAAGATCTTTCTCTCTGTGGATCGCCTAGTTTCCTATCACCAGGGACAATGCTTCGTGGCGTCAAGCTGACACTGATCTCATCATGAGGTTAAAAATGTGCGGACTGTACCTCCATTCCACACAGGTTTTCACGGCATGATGCACAAAGAAAAAAGTTGTCCGATACCTTAACGTGCACGTCAGACTACCGAAACAACTGACGTGTTTTGATGGAAAGTACGAAACGACACGCGTTCGAGGGAAATTCCGTAATTATTAGCCAGAAATGGTTAAACATGTCGTGACTACAGTTTCAGAACTCAACAAAATTACAAATTAAGTATAGCCTTTTCCTCTCAATTTTCAACAGCTGTTATGCGTAACGAAAATACAGGTCATCACCTGCGTGACGTATTGGCGAGAATAGCTAACGTATGAGACCACACGAAGGCTGCAGCGCGCGGGTCTACTTAAAGTCCGGAGCCTGCCCCACGCGGAGCAGTGAGATTCAGCGCACGATGTCAACAAGGCGTAATATTCTACTGCTGCTCGCAGTGGCCGCGAGCTCCGTCTTCTACGTTACGCTCGGTGAGTGGAAACTCTTTATTCTTATACACTTATAGTACGATCTGGAGCACATGCTTCTCGTTCGAGCAAGCGCTAATCTCATTTCCTGTTGACAGCACAGTAGGTTTGGTGACTGGCTACTGGCCGAAGGGTCGAAGTTCAAGTCCCAGTAGGGACAATATTTTACTCCTCTGCCCGTTGTCCATATCGGTTCCGGGGCCCACCCAGCCTCCTATCCAGTGGGTACCGGGGTTGAAGCGATCGGACCGTGAAGCTAACCACTCACCTCTAACTAGTGCTGCGGTCAAGAATACGTGGATCTATACATGCACTCCCCCACACATCTTCACGGCGTAGTGCTTAATTAGTTAAGCAAAGGGACAACTATGCCTTATTATTGTTATTATCTCAGATAGCTAAGTTGGCATATGAATTAGGCTACGTGCTGGAAGACGGGGACTCGAGATTAGATTCCTGGCAGGAGAAAGAGATTCTTATCTTCACAGCTTCCAAGCCGACTCTGGCGCCTACCAGCTTTCTTACCCAATTGGTACAGGGTGTTCTCCCGATTGGTAAGGCGATTGGGACGTGAAGCTGGCCACTTACGTTCCTCTAGTGCTGACTTAAGAATGCGCGGAGTGATCAGTCCACTTCCGCTCATGTCCTCATGCGTGGTACAAAGACGTTACCTTTTAGTTGATGATTATTATTACTGATTATTATTATTATTATTATTAGTAGTAGTAGTAGTAGCAGCAGGAATTAGGAGGACGGTGTAGCTTTAAATATGTATAATTTTGTTCAGGAGGTCCTCTGTTCAAATCTCAGCTAAGACATTAGTTATCCTAACAGAGGGTTTTCATGGTTTTGTCAGTCCCTCAAGGTAAATGGCGGAAAAGCACTTAGTTTAGATAACGATCGATTCCTTGAAATCCTTTCCAGTTGATCACTCGTCTTACCATTTGGCGCTATACAGTCTAGATACTGACAACGCCGTGAAATAAACCTCAAACAAACAATAGCAGTCTCAGTTCACTTATCATTATCTTGGCGTTTTTCCCATAACGACAGACGGGTGGGGAACCTGTACTCTAATGTGACAACTATAGCTACAGACGATAGCGAAATCTAAGTTGAAACAAAAGGTTATCCACGTATAAACTGATGTACGTCCTCACTTTTGGAAGAGATCCTTAATTAATTTTTACCTTTCTGTTTTATTGACCGTTGCTAATGAAGACCACCAACGCCACCATTTTCATCATCACCATTAACATCTAGGAGATGACGCAACAAAATAAGGGTCAAATTTTTCATAGGCTTTACAATGTCCATTCTTCAAAATGTAATGATTTTGGGTGACTATATTGAGAGGAATGTAAACGGCTGGGCATGCAAATCACATGGGGGATCAAGAAAGACACACAGAATTTGAGTTCGGAATTCCTCCCCCTCCGAACAGGAACACTTAAAAGTTCTAGGCCAAGATACGAGGATAATACTGTATATTCCGGGACAACTCAGTGAATATAGAGGCTTGGCCACGAGCTGAGCGGCCGAGGAATCGGTGTTCGATTCCCTGCAGGGATAAGACACTTTTTCTTCTCCAGTGTTCAGACCGGCTCTGGCAAGAACCCAGCCTACTATTCGAGGAGCATGGGGATTTCTCTCTTCGGGGTAAAAGGGGCCGGGGACTAAACTAACAACTCACCTCCATCAAGTGCCGAGGTTAAGCATACAAGGAACTATATTTCCATTCCCCATACATCTTGTTGGAATGGAATTTAATTAAGCACAGGAAAACTTTATATTTGCCTTCGAGAAACAGGCTGTTAAGATGTAAAATGGGTTGAATTGTATGAGTACGGGGATTCTGTGAACTTGATGACGAACCGTCGAGTTCTCATAAGCAAGAAATATCTTGATCAGGTTAATACATATTAACTGCCGAAGGAAAACTTTGTAGCGTGACCGCATCAATGATAAGAGCAGAATGCGACCGTTAAACAAGGTAGGACCTAACGCTACTTCGGTGACCTGGCGCGAAGCAACGTGAAAACACCTCTCGATTTCTGAACAAAATGGACGCATCTTCCTTTAGGTTATTGCTGAAAATGTTATTCGACTAATGTTTAAAGGTATGTATCATCACGTCAGCTACTGACCTTGACGGGAAACAAATATCCAACGTAAATATGTGTTGCTGCTGTCAAGCTAATTAGCGTTTCAGTTCCTCCTAACTGCAGACACACAGAAGTGACTCACTGAAATGCTTCAACTGCAGATCCGTTTGTCTCTCATAGGATCTTGCACAACCTTTGTAACACTGCAAGAGTCGAGTAGATCTGATTCGGTTCGAGTGAAGCCAAGGGTCTGTCTTTGCAGCATCATAGTTAAGTCAGACTCGATTCAAGTCGATGGGGCTTGACTGTTGGTGTACCCACAAGCCTTTGATTTAGGTATTCTGTCCCTTTACAATCAGCAGTGAATTCTGAAAATGTAAGTTCTTCAGAAACTTGGTAGTACTGCTTGGACGTGCTTCGGCCCATCGTGAGGTCCTTAACCTAAATGGGGCAAAGCAAAGCAACACGGAAGCACGCAGACTTGCACCCGAGCGGGAATCAAAACGGCGATTCCAGTGTTGAGCGGTCCGTGACCGTATGTCCTTCTGCAGCAAGGCCACTGTGCTAATAACAAGAGCTATTATGAAGCTTGTTTGAAACTTCGAAGGGATATAGTTCAAAACAAACTTGACAATTTTTGGAGAGACAGTTGCATTTATACTGTCCCACGATTGAATGTGACTATAGACGGAGTTTGGATTATTAATTTGATTTATTGAATTTTTACAAACGTAGATTTTAAGGGTTCTGACGATGGTGTATGACACAGAAAATTGCTGGGTTTTTGGTTTTCCATCGTCCGGTATTCCAGAAAGTATAAAACACGACGTTTCGGAAACTGGATCTGTTTCCGCCCTCAGGTGAGGAGGGACCCAACTGAGTAGATGTCTTCCCCCAATCACCTGAGGATGGAAGCAGAACCAGTTTCCGAAACGTAGTGTTTTCTATTTTCTGAAATACCGGACGATGGAAGAAGTCCAAAAACCCAGTAAGTCTTACAAACGTAACTACAAATAGATATAGCGCTAACGTTAATTCACACACTGCAGTCCACTGCAGCACGTACGAAGTCTTCTCAGTCTGCTCTGTCTTCACCGGTTGTCGTTTGGTAACGGCTTTCAACTCCATAGCTTCATCAGCTTCTGTGTTCACGTCCTTACTGGCCGGCGACTGTCTCACAGCTCACTCATTGCTCCAACTGACTAACTCCCAGGCTGGCGGCCATCTCACACCAACCTTCTACTTTTTTCATTGCAATCTTAAGACTCTTTTCTAATGGCAGCTGGCCCTCGTTATATAGCCCCGGCACGGACAGCCCAGAAAACACCTGTCCTAACAGTCTTTCTATTGTTGCGTTACGTAGTTATCGCAAGGACCATATAGAGAACACCACTTCCCAGTTACTGTATCGTTGCATGTTACGAATCTGATGCGACCATTACCTAGCAACGACTGTATATCTGTTTGTTTCATGGTCGTTACCTAGCAACGGGTCTGTATGCCACAATACTAATACACTGAACTCGACAGACCAGCAACGTGCACTATTAACGTTATCCATTATCCATTTATCCATTGCCTGGGGTGCATTTAACACCGTTTCGGAAACAGGATCCGCTTCCGTCATCAGGCCCGGGGAGGTGAGAGCACTACTCGGCACGGGTCGCTGCTTGGACCCGTTTTAAGGAGCTAGTCTCGATCAATGATTTCGACCTATGATCGACAGTAGCTCCCGACTGGCCGGAGTACGATTCACCTCCTCCCCTTTACATCTGTTCAAGGAAAAGGACGATGTTTTCGAAACGCCCCATCACAATGTAAAATAGACAACGTGATGGAGAGTTCTGTCTCCTGGAATATAACGCTACGTAATCCATTGAAAGTCAACCGACGTTTCGTAGGAACATCGCGTCCATCTTCAGGGTCGAATAAGCTGAGCAAGATGCCAGCCGTAAGCTTGCCACCTGCTTTACTTCTTATTCTAACCTGAATATGGAGGCTGCGCATTCCTCTAAAAATTCGGTTGCCTTTCAACTGACTAAACGGCATTATATTCCAGAAGACAGAACTCTTCATGACCACAAGTGTGAGACCCTAAAAGTCTACATGGACAACGTGATGCTTGTGTATGACCATTGCCACAAGCATTCTGTGAATAGCATGTACTAAGTGATCATATTATTATTATTCCCTTCTTTTTTCGTTGTTCTTTCTTCGTTCTTGTCATCCTTTTCCTTTTCCTTCCATTAATATTTTTCTTTCTTTATTCTTCGCGTCCCCTTGCAGAAAAATCCGCACTGCACTTTGAGGAATGATTTTTGTTTTTTTGTGGTCGTTAGTTGCATTAGAAGTCAGTTGGTTCTTATGATGTTCATTTATTTGGCGTATTTATGACCTTCGGAACACGATTCTTTGCCATGGTTACTGTAAACTGTGTGAAGGTTATCCACTCAAAGTCAAGGTCGCAGTGGTTATCTTATGGGGGGAAGAAATTTGGATTTGAAAGCATTCATGTAACAGAAAAGTTCTGCGGTTCTCTCGGTGTCGTTTCTCCAAGAGGTCCTCATAAAAAGTAAAAGTAAAGCTATCCCTGTACCAGGCCGTGTAGGCCCATAGGGTTCTGAGACGTTGAGGGCCCCACACTATCTAGACAATCGGCTCAAAGATGGCGGTAAGGTTGTCAGCCTTACGCGCCGGCCGCGCTTTACTCCCCAGCAAAATTATTTAATTAATTCCTGGTACTCATTTCTGTTAGAGGGTGACTCATATATATATAGTCACGTGTTGGGTGTATAACGCGACAAATAACTTCACGCCGTATTGGATATAGCGAATTTATTGCACAGTCGCTCTCCACACTTATAAAATTCACAGTTATACAACCTTAATCTTATACAA